GCGTTATATACTTCTAACATAAATTGAATAGTGAGAAGACTGTAAACGCATGATACACTTGGGTATAATCGACATAAAATGAATATCTAAAAGTTTAAATGAAATATGCCACATTTCTTATGCTCTCGCATTTATAAAAGCATTGGCAGTATTTCAAAATTATTGTATACGAATCTTCCGATTATTGACATAAATTGCATCATACGAATATTGATACTGCATAGCAAACTGATAAATGGCACGTCTATTTTAGAACGCGATTCATCGCTTGCCAGAAGTTAAACTGAAAAGAAATTGCACAAAAGTTTTCTGCTTATTTTAAAGATTTCCTTTGCCTCATAACAAAAAGAATTTCACACGCTCTTTCGGGAATGTTCATGCGACTGCTCGTGCTTCGGGCAAAAAGCTCTCCCAATACTTGATCAGTTGATTCTGGTATTGTAACATGGACTCCAAGTATTCCGTTAATTGTTTCTTAAAATCTTCCACTCTCACTAATTCGAATCGTTCGACTTCTTTCTTAATCATTTTCGAGATATTGTCAAACTCCTCTTGGCCTCTGTCGACTTTTGCTTCCCAGTCTATTACATCGCTAGCAGCTTGACTCGTTTTGTCAGTTCTCCCTGATTGTTCCAATCTCGCTTTCTGTTCTCGTTTCTTGTTCAACATCATTTGAGCGTGTTGCCAATTTTGAAAGACTTTTACACGTTCGTGAAATACTTCCTGAAACGAACAATATCTTAAATTGACTTGTTTCAAATCCTTTTCGATAAGAGCCGATCGATTACACCAACCTTTATCGCTCCGATTAGCGAAACGTACTCTCGTAACATTTCTCCAAACTGATAAAGATCGCAATTGCTTTGTGCTCTTCTGATTACTTCTACCTTCTCCAAAGTCTCAGCTAATTGAGCCAATGCCCTTCCAAGAGACGCCCCTGGTTCGCCATGCCCGAGCACCGCGATAGATCTTGCTGTTGCGCCAGTGCAGTTTGCCAACTCCCTTCTCTGGTTAGTCAAAGTATCGACTGCAGAATGCAGCGCGCGTAACTGAACGTCTAGGGAATCAATCTGCGACGTTTTTTCTTCAAACCACTGAAAATCGAACAAACACGAAACTGTGGCTATCCAAATACTTTGACAAATCTTTTTACAATTAGATTAATGATGTCGTTTTACTTTATCAGTTTCATCCATTTTGTATGTTATCTTGTTAACTGTTTCTCCAACTTTGTTAAAGAGCCTCATCACTCCTTTCCCACTGAGTGCAGATGTATTAGTAGCTTTAGGCAATTCCATATCTGTTTGTAAAATATACACGTAAAGTTAATTAACGATTGTTCACATAAAAGTTTCAGTTTACACTATCATTTACCAGCTTCCAAAAATTCTCTAAAATCGGGATCGACGCTGAGCACCGGATGAGCTGCAGTTCTATTTAAAAATCTTTCAAGTGCTGCTCTACGTTTCTCGAGAAACTCCGTGGAACTGGAGTTTTGTTCCTGATTTTTGTCCCCGGACATTTTAATTTTTGTTGTTCCTGCGTAATTATCTCATTTAATAATTATGATTGAAGAACTTTAATTCAAAGTCATATATGTATATATATTGTTACCAATGACATTCTTCTCTGGAGCTGGAGGAATTATTCTGCCACTTCTAAGATATTTATCCGTTAATTTGTCATGGAGACCAAGAAAGTCGCTGAAACGTCTGATCACACTGAAATTTCTTTTTCTAAATATTGGCATATTTGTTTTTGTTTCAACCTTGTATGCAACATAAGCACCCATCCCATCTCCAATCTTCTGTGGCGAAGTTACTGTGATCTTTAAAAATACATCAGAAGAATCTGCCGATACCTGTAAAATCATTAAATGTACATCTTAATTTTCTATTATTTTATCTATTCATAATACCGATAATAGATGTTTCGTGAAATTTACCGTATCAGTCGACTGAGCCTGTATAACATTCGTTGAGAGCACATCCGCGTTATCATTTATGGGCACATCGTGGAGATCACCTATATCACTACTCATTGGTCCCAACGGTGAACTTAAAGGTCCTGGTGCAGGACTCGATACGGACGAAAACGAATTCTCCTCCGGCACATCTCGTAAAGTCAGCTTTGGTAGTTCTGCTTGGATAGTTGACACTCCATTATAGGGAGACGAATCTTGACTCAGTTGACTTTGATCCTGTGTTCAAATATTATTAGTGCTTGTTTAAATAGTAGACTTTGAACAAATGCAGAACGGTCATTGTATCTTGATAATAGGTGTAAGCGTTCTGTTTAATTTACAGTAACAAATAGAGTTCGGAAGCGGTGGCATATAGGTTGTAAAATATTCGCGCACATGTTCGATAATGATAAAAAAAGTACCTGGACCGCTGATCTGAAAATATCTTCATCGTCGTCGTCCAAATCGTCTACTTTTGTCTCGTTTGTGTCAAATAGCGGCGGAGTTTCTTTAATATCAGCCATCTTAGCGATACTGTCAATCTACCGAGAAACACTGGGATCGGCCCCCCGAATGATGTATGTATGTAATGCCAACGTCAATTTCTCTATCTATGGCTATCGTATTTCTCACGGTATCTGCCTAGGCTCGAACGTTACGAATAACTTTCTAACTCGCCGCTTCTACACGTTCCGGGTATAAAGTATAGAATTGCCGCATCCATGCCACACGAAATACGCATACATCAAATTGCTCTTACATACAATTGCGCATGTTGTATGTCATTATAAAGACATCTTTATACTGATGGAGTCAGTTATTTGCGATTGAACAAAAAAGACGCACTGTTACAAGTACTCGCATCAAACTACCACAAAAGTGTTATCATTTAATGATAAACTTGTAATTCCGTATTCAAAAATATGTTATCGTTCTCGATTATTTGTATCCAGTCTCGGTTAGGTCGTAATGTTCCCGAGAATTTCAACAATAACATGTTTTTACAAGAATAACATATATCTACCTGCATAAAACGCTTACACAAGAACGTTCCACGTCACATATATTGCATTGTTATCATGAAAAATTAATTACCGTTTTCTGCACCGATGTTTGTATAATGAATATTTCTCGGTTTTCAACAAAGGAGGCGGTTTAGAACATTTCCTATTTTCTCTGGCAAGCAGTGCAAGATTTTTGATAAGCATTCATCATCAGTCTTCAAAGATGAATCCAATGTCCAGAGAAGAGATTAACATCAGAAGACTTTTAACAAGATGTGAACTGATGGCTAAAGATGATTCGCAAAAGGATTGGAAACTTGAGAAGGTTCAAACAAGATCATATCTACTGAAAATTATTTGTTTGTCAACTGTTGTAATTTGTTCAAAATAAATTTCAGTATATCCTTGCATTGGATGATATGATAAAACAATTACAAGCATTGCCAAGGTACAGCTTCATTCTGTAAAAGATTAATTAAAATTATAATAGCACATGTGCTTTAGATCTGAAAGAAATGATTGTTCCAGTAAACCACCTAAAGATACCATGATGAGATACACCAAAAGAATAGAATTCTTAAAAGGACTGATAAATACGACAAAACTTTTAAACCCAGTTGACAGAGTCGTGGCTGTCCAGATGTTGCCAAAAAGTTCCACAACATTTAATGAATCTATAGGGCCGAACATAGCGACCCAAATACATCAGAAAACTGCAGCAAAATACAATAAAGAATTACGTACTGAACTATTTCACAATGATAAAGGTGCAATATCGTTTTACTCAAAAGAAATGATTGTAAATTGAATGGTTCCTTTTTACCAATATATTCATCAATCTCTAGGAGTGTTAGAGGATGGCATAAGGCAAAGACTGTCTTCAACTACTATGCAGGATGAGGATTTGGATGCACTTTTGAAATACAACAGAAACATTCAAGAGAAGATTGCTGAGAACATGCTTTCAATGACTAGTAGCATGAAGGAACATGCTTTGGCAGCAAATGCTATCATAAGGAAGGACATTGGTTTGCTCGAAAGGTGTGATAAGTTAACAGATACCAATGCTGATAAACTGAAGACAGAATCACTGAAACTGCAAGAACATACACAATCATATTGGAGGTGTTGGATGTGGGTGATGATTGTGTTTGTTTTAGTTGTATTTTTTAGTAAGTAATAGTACTGCTATAAAGTACATGACATCCATTCTTAATATTTTATTCCAAATGTTTAATCGTGATCGTAAAATATTTAAAAAATTTGATGCCGTAAACCACATTTCTCTAATTTGTAGATATGGTATTATTTATGAAAGTTGCAAGAAAGAAAGTTTAATATGCACCGGTTTTCTGTAATTGCTTCCTGTGAGAATGAGCGCGTCAGCTTCAGACTGTGCATAAATGTGAACAACTCTTACGATTCACATGGAAACATTGCTGTTATTATTGTAAGTATGACTACCATGATGAGTGCATCTGTGGCAACACCCATACCACCTAAACCTATTCGGAAACCCGGTAAATAACAATAAGAAAATTAAGAACGTACTTTATTATCGTTATAGTTACTTGGAACGATACCAGGAATTATATTTGAATTAACTTTGTGCATTCCATATTATTTGTATTATTATAAAATTTGTACATATTAACGCTGTAATAATAATAATTTACACCTAATGAAATAAATATTTATTAATGTACTATTGAGAACACATGTTACTGTAATGTCTACAAAATCCTTAGTCTCTCCTTTTCTGTTTTTAACACGTAACTGTTCGACAAACCTTCATGTATATGATTTGTTATTTTTTAAGGTAAAGTCAAAGTTGTTAAGGCGCTATATAATTACACAGCGCAACATGTAAGGATTCTTATTAATAGATAATTTGTGAAATGGTACTATCAAATCATATTAAAAAGTTATATTCTGTAGCCAGATGAACTGTCTTTCCAAGAAGGTGATATTCTTTATGTTCACGACAATTATACAGACTCAAATTGGTGGAAAGGAAAATGTGGAGACCGAGAAGGTCTTGTACCTGCTAATTATGGTTAGTCTAAACGCATTAGTTAATTTCATTAAAAGTTATCGTTCAGTACATCAAATTGTTTGTGTTTAGTTGAAGAACAAACTCAAGAAATTGTGCTACCATTGCACGATGCTGCGAGACGTGGAAATGTTTCGATGTTGAAGGAATACATAAAGCAGGGAGTTTCTGGTACCGGCTTAGATGCAATGGGTAACACTCCTTTGTATTGGGCTGCATGCGCTGGCCACTTGGACTGTGTAAATGAACTTCTGAATTTACCAAACTCTGCAATCAATGTACAAGTGAGTAAAGTATGCTTAGTATTTCTTTCGTTTCTTCCATCACTGTGTACCTACTTTTGTGACAGAATAAAATGGGAGAAACAGCATTACATGTGGCAGCAAGTCGTGGGCATATAGAAATAGTAAATCTACTGTTACATTACAATGCAAATCCAACAATAAGGAATAACGATAGTTTAACGGCGGAACAGTTATCTGCTGACCTTTCGATTAAAAATGCGATACAATTAAATCAACGTGATAGTAGAAGAGTATGTGGATATACGGATGATGATTACAATGATGACAGTGATTAAAATGATGTATGTACGTTCTTTTCTTTGAGTATATGATTGTAAAACAAAGTTACTATTTATATAATTTCATTTGAATGAGTATTTAAGAAGGTATTATTACTAAATATATAGGATATGTATTAATAATTTTGCAATATTATAAAAAATTGAAGAGACTTGTATTCCATTTTATTACATTTCCTTTTTACAAAATTAGTGCTGATTTACTTAGAACTAGTACTGGGATAATTCGTGCCTTGTTTGGGTTTTTTTACTGAACCACCTATTGAAATCTAGTCTCAATAATAATTGAGCTAAATGTTCTCCACTCGGTTGTGCGCGTACCCTGTTCAGTGTCTTTGTTAACCAGCCCATTACACTCTCAAGTGTCTCAGACAGAGTTTTCAATTCTTCCTTTTCTGTTAAAAGTAAATTACCTACTTCCCACATTGATGCTTGTAAGATGAAATCGTCGCACAGTCGTAATAACAGTTTTATTAATTTATTTACCTGTGAAAAATATATCTTGAATGAACAGGCAGACGTAATTGTGAAACCGATTTAAATTAAAGTAAACATACAGCGTTCGTCCTCTCGGTCGAATTTCCTAATAAAAATGTTTGTGACATAACGTTAGCCAAAAAGATGGAATGCGCCTTTTGCACATCTTCAAAATTCCTTGTATTCTTCATATTTGCTTCCATGATTGTGTACTGACTTTCTATTACGTCTACTTGTAAGTAGTATTGTAAATTATCGATAATAAAAATTAGATTGTTCCTCAGTTGAATTACCCCCATATCGCTGAAAAATTTTAATAATTCATCAATAATGTCCGACTATTTATCTGCAAAGTATTGGAATCACGGCTTACATATTTTTGTAATACATGTGCTCGCTCCACAGATTCCATAAATCAATTTGCGTCTTCTTAACTCGGAGCAAAAATTTGAATAGTGTATTGTAGTCGTTCAGAGCAGATGGACTGAACAACAAATGTAATGGCCATATGACTTTATATTTCAAAATAACCATACCCCATCCACGTCTTTCTGTAGCAATTAGCGAAACTGAAATTTTTCTATTCGTTCAAAGTAGGATGTTGTACAAGTAATAATGTTTTACCAATAGGATCTTCACGTTCTTTCTCAGTAAACTCTGTACCTTCTACCTCGATATCTTCAGTTTCTTCTACTGGGATAGGTACTATAAAATTGAAACTGTCCATGGCGTTCTCGTCATTCAAATGCATCTTCCTCAACGCCATTTGGAAAGCTAGATTAACGTCTCGCGACGAATGATGCGTCGGGGGTTTATTCAATATATGAGCAGTGAGTCGGATAAATTCAAGAAACAAATCGCCACGTCCCATGAGGAAAAAATCTTTAACTAATCTAAGTTGATGAACAAGTTGTGCTTCTTCTACGGCGACTCGCCATAAAAGTTCTGTTATACATTGCTTTAACTCATCGATCGTACGTTCGAATTCCACGATATTAAAGATAGATCTCTTTTGGAGGCTCTGCAATTTACGAAAATACTCGTACTCCTTTTCACCCCATATCGAAGTTTCGATATGATCTGATATAGCAAAATCTATAAGGAAACCCAGAGACTTGTAATAATCTTCGTACATGTTTTAGTCTGATGCGTTTCATATATGAATTACCTTTCTTCTGTCTCGGGTCATTCCCGAACATTATAACAGTTTGCCCAATAGTCAAAATTTTAGCTGCTAAAGACGGTCTTATGTAGGAGGGAAGCATATCTATTTTAATATTATAATTCCACATGTCTGCATTGACTTTTGCTTTATTTCCATCTTTATTGTCTATTAACATCAGAGTGTTTTGTTCATCAGTTATTTTTTGGATGAAAAACTCATTGTACACATCATCCAAATGACCATACAAAAGCCAGCTAGTCAAGTGTTTGTAAAAAACTATGTGTACACAATGAGATACCCTGTATAAATAAGAATTGTTTGAAAAAGAGGAGATAAAAAATAATAAAAGAGTGTAATACTTACTTTTCTATAGCAGTTTTTACATCAGAAATACCAATATGCATATTTTGATGCAGGCATTGAAGTAATTTACAACCATGAACTTTTTGTGTGTGAATCTGAATTAAAGAACATAGTACTTTCTAAGTATAGACTGTGTATAAGATTTCCTATTACATCTCGTCAGTAATCGTTGCCTACCTCTCTTATTATAGAATTTAAGACAGAAAACAAGCAGACATATTTTTGAATGTGGCAGAGTATTAATGACAATGGAGTATAACTGTCACTGAGAACTACACCTTCTAAATCAACGATCTCTTGGCGAAATGGTTCTAATGCTTGATCCATCCCTTCGCAAAGGGCTTGTAAATATAAACCCTGATGTACGTTCTCTGAATCTGGAATATGTGTAAGACTCTATACAGAAGAGTAACTAATGTTAATAATAAAATTTAAATACCTTCAGTATGTTTTGAACCAGTTGACGTACTATAATCCTTAATAAATTTTCTAATAATATTACATTCTTCCACTATATCTAATATCTTTTTGAGCAAGACACGTTCTCCGGGATGTAAATATTTTTCGATATCTACAGTCTGAAATCAACAAACAATTATAATAGTCTGTTGCAAATCATGTTGATAGAACCATCTTTTAATTACGTCTGATTCCAATATTTGCAAGGCATTCGTCGAACATCCCCACAGGGATAATAATACTTCGTGCAACATTTCGTTCAACGAAATATTATTTTCGTAGAAAAGAAAATAATGATTCAAACAGGTTCACAATCTTCAACGTGTATATGAGTGATGTGAAGGTGTGAATCGGACGTTCGGAAGAAAGTAGGGATAGTTGATATTTTATTGGTTGTCACAAAATGTAGAAAATTATTCTCACCCTCGTAACGGTTCCATGTCAGTTTAAATCACGCTCGTATACGCGACCGTGAGTTATAAATTGTTTGTTTAATTATTTATTAGTTGCTTTAATAGAAAATAGATCATTCTAGTTTTACAGTTTGTGTGACTACTGTGTACTATGCAGCAAAGATATTCAATTCAAGGATTGGGATGGCGAAGAAATTATGTTTGATGTATCCCAAGGTATGTTTATTTCAATTGTTATTTCAAAGTATGCTCTTGCAAAACTGAATAAATAAGATACATTAATTTAATCATAGTTGAGTTCAGTCGTTGTTATCTTTATCTGCTGAAAATGTGTTTTCATTTTGTACTGTACATATGTATCTTGAGCTTGTGTGTGTTTGTGCAAGTTAGTTAGTTGGTGTTAGTGTGAAAGTTATCCATGTATATACAGTTGGTTGAAAATTCGAGTTGCATGTTCGTTTTCTTAATATACGCGTCGTTTTATTATAAGCAGTAATACAATTATTCTGATCATGAATAGTAAGTCTGATCATGAAGTGTCTACTTCTGCTATTAATTCTTGACGCATGACAAACTGTGAACTGTAGGAAACATCGACAAAAGCACGTGGTTGAGCTCTCATTTCGTTCCTCGTAATTTGAATAAATGTACATTTATTAATTGATTTTCGGAGCTTCTGGTAATAATGGTACGTCGTAGAAGACCAGTTCGTGGTGGGAAAAGAAAATTCGACCAGCGAAATAATCATCCGAAACCAAAGAAAGGTAAATTTAACCTAAAGGAATCGTCGTACGTGAAAGAACGAATTATTAGGAACAATGAGATCGAAAGACGAAGGAAAATGTTGGAGGAAGAAAAATCAAAGCGACGACAACGCGTGGATACTGATAGTTCTGATGATGCGCAAGAAAATCCGCTGCAAAATTTATTAGCTACATTTTCAAAGACTAATGATCAGAAAGTGACTGCTATCGAATCTGAAACAGAATCAGAAGGTGATAGTGACAAAGATGAGATTGAGGAAATTAATGAAGTCGACGAGAATCCAGCAGTTCAGTCCGACAATTCAGGCGAAGAAGGAGAGCCAGTAACCGACGATGAAGAGATAGAAATGAAAGAAGATGATGAAGAAGATCCTGAAACAGCTCAAGAGGATGTTGGCAACCTAAGGGATCCATTTTCGATTCATCTTCACGATGATTTAAGCGATGAACTTTACGAGGCAGTCTCTAACGTCCCACAAATTGTACAAACTCAGAAGATAACATGGCCTACTTTAGGCAATCTTATATGTCAGATCCCAAAACCAAGGAATACAGAAGATACAATAAAGAAAATCGATAGTTTTATTTTAGAAAACAAACAGTTTGCCAAGTGCGGCACCATCCCTCAGTTGATCAACAGTGTCAATTGGAATAAATTGTATGTAAAATCTCAAATCCACGACAATATTTCAAAAGCAAATTATTCCAATGTAAAGGACGATGTGACTAAGAATCCGTCTCCCATGACTCCCTTGCAGAAGGAATTATTTTCTATAATAAATAACTATCAAGATCTGTATTATCCCGAAAGAACGTATTCCAATGCAGATCAGATAAGATTTGTATACTGTTTACACGCGATTAATCATTTGTTGAAGACGAGAACGAAAGTGTTGCATCATAATGCGAAAATAACAAAATCAAAATGTACAAACATGGCAGAAATTCCTGACGAATATCGAGATCAAGGTCTGGTGAGACCAAAAATCTTGATAATCGTTCCTTTTAGACATTCGTGTTTGAAAATAGTAGAATTATTAATATCAATTTTAATTGGAGAAGACAAGGGTGAATCTGTGATCAATAAAAACAGATTCATGGAAGATTTTAGTGGAAACGAATTAGTGTTGCCAAAATTAAACCCGAAACCAGAAGATTATGAGTTGACCTTCCAAGGCAACACGGACGATACCTTTAAAATAGGAATTGCTGTTACGAAAAAAACTTTAAAATTATATTCAGAGTTTTATTCCTCTGATATAATAATCTCGTCCCTTCTGGGTTTGAGAATATTAATAGGTGCGGAAGGTGAAGCAGAAAGAGACTTTGATTTTTTGGCATCCGTAGAATTGATGATTCTCGATCAATCAGAATTGTTTCTAATGCAAAATTGGGACCACATGATACACGTGCTAAATCATATGCACCTGCAACCGAAAGATTCTCACGGGACAGATTTTTCTCGAGTGAGAAGTTGGTCTGTGAATGGTTGGACGAAATACTATAGACAAACATTGATATTTTCAAGCGTTCACGTGCCTGAAATTTATGGAATATTTAATAAGAAATCTTACAATTACGCAGGGAAAGTGAAAGTAATAAATCCTATCTCTTCCGGGTCCATTTGTCAAGTAGTAGTTCAAGTTCCGCAAGTATTTCATAGATTTCAAACGTCCAGCCATTCTCAAGCTTTGGATCATAGAATAGAATTCTTTATAACGAAAATACTTCCTCAATATAAGGACGTGATTATGAACCACACGTTGATCTTCGTGCCGTCTTATTTCGATTTTGTTAAACTGCGAAATTATTTAAAGAAAGAAGAATACAGTTTTGTACAGATTTGCGAATATTCCAAAGACGCAAAGGTAGCGAGAGCGAGAGACATGTTCTTTCACAGTGATGCTCATTTTCTTTTGTACTCGGAACGATTTCATTTTTTCCGAAGGGTGAGGGTGAAAGGTATAAGACACATTATATTTTTTGCGCCACCGACGTTCCCTCATTTTTACACAGAAATGTGCAACTTGATGCGAGAAGCTAATCAGAATCCACGCGCCGGCTCTGAAAGCAACATGACAGTCACCGTTTTATATTGTAAATACGACGTCATGCAGCTTTCCGCGATTGTCGGTACTGAAAGAGCGAGCAAAATGATTGGATCGGAAAAGACTGTACATATGCTTATGACTGGTGAATGAGAAATGGACAGCATTATGTTTTAGACAATTGTAAATTATCAGATGTATATAAAAGGTACAATTCACAATCTACATTTTTAATAATAACATTTCCACTTTTTACTTTTTCCCTTGTTTTCTTTATTAATAGTATACATTTAAAAAATTAACAGAAACAAATTAAAACGAACGCTTAGGTCTCGTAATAATTATTTGGTCTTCAAAATCAACTAGGATGGTATATTGAAGCTATAACAAATCTAAGCGTCTGATGTCGATCCTCTTTTAAATATTTTCATTACATTAGCAAAATTAATTAATATCGGAAGTTAGAATCTTGGTAGACGTTTCCTCTGTACTGGAATCAGTTTGTAAATCTTCGAACGTCGTTATGGGTAAAGTACTCGAATTCGCGTTAACACTCTGTACTAGAATAGTTAACAAATCCTTGGGGCGGTAAGTGGAGGTTGTATTCTCTGGTAAAGGACTATGCTCATTCGTCAGACTTAATTTCGTCGTCATTTCCTCTATTTGCGTTTCTGAAAAAGAAAATTATTACTTTGTATATTTCAGATCCGTGAATCAGGCGACATCCCAGACGACAAATTAGAATAAAAAGAACAATATTTTGACAAATTGAGACGATTGAAATTCTGCTTTTACCATTCATAATGGGAGTGGTAAGAGCACTCGGTAATTTAATATTAACGCATTCCGGCTTCATTCTCATCCTGATGGCTACATCTTTCGGGTCCCAGAGAAAAGTATAATATAAAGACAGTAGAATAGCCGTCATGCTAACAAATATAACATAGGCCACCACTGTCAATACCCGTACTACTAATATTTGTTTGTGCTTAGGCTCGTATAGCTTGTCCCTCCTCTCCTCGCCTGCGAATCGAATTTCATTGTCTTTCCTTTCATCGCACGCGAATCGGATCTCGTTATCCTTTCTCTCTTCACTCGCGAATGTACGACTAATGCTTGCCATCACATTTTGAGCGCTCATTTTCCGCGGCAACTTCATCCTCGGTTCAGGTTTCAACGCACAGAACGTCAAGCTCGAACAGAATTCGTATCGCAACAACGTTTCATAGTACTTGAATTTTTGTCGAACGTGCGAAGCTACCAGCCACACGTTACCTTTCGAGGAAAGCGTTCATGGAAACATTGCCCCGTTTCTTCTATATATAATTTTCTCGATTGTTTGCATTTATGAACACTCGGTAAACTTTATAGGTTTATTACGAGCTTTAAAGGCTTCGCAACTCGAGCGCATCTCGCGTCAACTGCTACCCCTGCACGGCATGTGTTTACACTCAAGACAGATTGCTACTGATTTCTGATAGAAATGTTTGATGATCTTGCGCGATCCAACGTTCACTTATGCCGGTTGTCGGGTTTGGAAAAACGAGCTGCTAGTTTATACTAGCTGGGCGTTTCCAAGCAAACACTGTAGGTACCGGAAGCAACGATAAGGGATGTGGTAACTTTTAGCGAGAAAGAATGTAAACTCTTGGTGCATACGCGAGAGAATACTCGGTGCCAACGTTCCCACTATTATAACTATTTCTGTCCCTTGACTGAGGGGAATCGACGTTTCGTACCAATGCAGCTGTTAAAAAACACACCCGCCTAGCGATACCGAAGAGCTTTCACTGCGCAAGTCTCGGAACCTTGACTCATCCTACTTCGTTTCGCAAGCTTCAAGGGCTGCTCAACTTTACGGGTTTCATCGTGGCAAATACCCTTAAACTGATATACCAACTAGCCTTATTTTATGTAAAAAGCTTAGGACGCTTCGAGATCTTTATGCATTCCGACTGCTCTACGCATTCGAAGCTGTTCTGGCTACAAGTCGAATGACACACGGAGGGAGAATACTAGTTGAACGACTTCAATAATTATTTTGTTGTATTCCAATTAAAATAAAACTTTTAACGCCAGTAGCTGTACAACAGAATTAGAGAGTAGACCATACTTTTGCAGAGACTGTATAGCCAGAACAATCTTAATAGGCGATATGTATCAATCTCTATAACTGATAATAATTTGTCTTAATTTTATATTTTGTAAACGAGTTACGGTCAAAGGTCACGATGGGTTAATAAAATTTATAATGAAATGAATGATATAAAATGGATAAAAATCATGAACTGAAGTGCTTCCGTGGACGAAGTGACGAATTAAATGCTTGCGCAAGTATTTTACGTAAGTTCGTGTCGTTCTTCGAAGTTAATACTTGTCACGTTCCTCCTAAACGGGATACACTCCCCGGTCTCGTAACAAATACCATTTATATAAAAGCGCTCCCGTTCCAATTAATGGAAATTAGGAAGTTATAAAAGGTCATAAAATACAGTCAAACGCTATAGGTTTCCGTTTCGAGAACAACGTGACTTTAACGATAATCTCGTTTTACAAAAGAGGCGCGCCTTTATTTTAATAGCATTTAAGATGTCGTTCTTCGATCACTTTGGAGACAAACATGGTATTACGACCCGTAAGTCACTGTTCGATGGTGACTTCGATATCTAATACAAAGGGAAAAATGCATTTCCTTCCCCGAAGGGGTCGTTTCATTAATTTCGACGAAGGATAGATCTTCAAGTGAAGGTAACGAACGATTGCCTAAATCGGATAAAAACGATCTTTCAGAAAAATCGTAAAATCTTTGTAACGATGCAAAAGAAGCCGTAATGGATTGACCTGACCCTGTTTCGGTTATTACGCGGATAATCATCGTAGGCCAATCCATTCTATGTATTTTTTCCTAAGGTTTTAATCACGACTTTTCATTAGACGTTTCTATTATTACCTTTTATCAAAATCCGACTGGTTATAAGGTGCATGGTATGAAGAGCTGAATTACGATTTGCAAAACGTTTATTTACCTTTCGAATTTTGCGCAACGTTCAGCTTTGCACGTGACTCTTTTAATTGCTTAGAATATTTCAGACGATCTGCATAGTTCATCTTGTATGTGGAATCTGTAGTCGGTTGATTGTTTATGTTATCGACGTTACTCGTGCGATCTTTATTTCCTTTCGTGTCAACATTTCCTTCATCACTTCTCATAGCGATATTTATAAATTCTCCATCCGGTACGTTCAAATACCAAGGCGTTTTCGATTCGGTCTTGAAGCTCGATACAACTTGGTTCTCTCCAAATTTTTCTCGATCGACACTTTCCGTCTTCTTCAAAATATTTGGAGGCGAATCATACACAGAGTCGTGTCTGCTGATCGTCAAACGGTCATTATTTGCTTTGCCTCCAGAAATAGTCGGAGATTCCAGTGTCTGAAATGAGCTATTGTCATTCAGCAAACGATTCATAATTATCGAGGAATGTCTTCGAACTTTTCCTCCTGTATTTCCCTTCTCCGTGTGGTTAAGAGACTCGATCGCCTTATGCTGCAAAACTTCGATCAAGTAGTTTCTCAATGAAGACAGAGATTTGTTTAATTCTTTACGTTCCTCTGCGTGGTCCTTGATGAGATTGTCTGGCTCGGTGATTATCGGAACAGGAAATTCAAAACGCGGATAGAAGTTGTCTTTGATAACGCGAGCAGAGAGGAAACTCGTATGATTTTTATGATGACGATGATAGAACGGTTCGTTCTCTTCCATGGGATCGCTCCTTAAGAAATCCAGTTCAGGGTCGGATAATGGTCCTGGTCTTCGTAGGAGCGTCGGATTCGGCGGTTCCCAAAGGAATATATAATACGCGCTCAGGACGATGGCTACGAAACTCACGGAAAACATGTAAGCCATCACAGTGACTAAACGTATTAACTTCTTGGTTCCTTGATTCTCAAATATGTCATCCTTCTTCGCGGCATCGCCACCTCCGTCCTGAGGAGTTTCCTCGTTTCCCGACATGCTTATTTAATTTTTCTCGTATTCGCGACCTGTACGAAATTCAATTGCTGATCAAACTCTGACTTCCAAGCTGCTCCATCACTTTTAATCCTCGATCCTGTTCCCATCTCTGTTAAACATCATCTTTTTTCGCGTAGTGGTCATCTTACAGAAACACGAATTCACGTTTCACGTTAGTTTCGAAGGCAAGATTTCACCGTGGAATTAAAACGCATTGGAAAAGGTTTTCATTTCCACTGTTTATTTGTTTTAGAAAATTAATGCATCCAACCGATCGTAAACGTGTCACGGTTTATTTAATGCCAAGGGAGAACGCACTTCGTGGGATGCGCTTCGACAGCGAAAGCACGTAAGACTGCAGTTCTGTTCAAACGTTTGTAGAAAAGCTCGTTCCTTCACCACGTGTTAGAACGGCGCGCAAGCGTTCTTAAGCTACTACGTACCGTGTAGATTATTTTTCACTAGCAAATCTATTAGACTCCGCTTGGACGACATGCAGAGTTTGTCCGAACGGTTAAAATTTGTTCCACCCTTTCTCCCAACTGTTATTATCATTTTGCAAGAATAAACTTCCGGAAAATTCCGGATTCTCCTGTTGATTCCCCGACGATTTTTCTTCTTCATCTTCGCAGAGTATCAACGGTTTCCCCAGTATTATCGTCTCCGACGATTTTGTTTTATCGTTCGTCCACGTGTACAACAATTGCTCGTCCTGTTCCACTTGATCGTTCAAACTGTTTTTACTTAATTGCGAAAGGGACGGTGTCATATTATTACAACAGCATATTTCTAAAGAAGTATTAACAGCGATCGTGTTCTTCTCGCACTGATTCGCAAGGCTTCTCGCACTGCAATTTGCGTTCTCGAGCTGCGTAGACAAATTCTGAAAACGTTGCGACAAATTTATAATCACGTAAAATATGCAAAATCTACGGCTGTACCTCGGACTGTGGTGGATCGCGATTCTGCGTGTTCGGTTCTGAGTTCGATCGCGAACTCTCGTTTATTTGGGAGTTGGAAGCGTACGACAAATTGGGGACGCATTGTTGATTGCTTAAAATCGTGAACACCTGCGTTAACAAGTCGTTCGAACCTTCGGAACAAGGTATCGGGATAGGCGTTTGAGCATTTTGTCGTGCGATCAACGAATTCAGAGCCGGCATCAACGCTGGCGCGTAAAGCAGTACAGCGAGCCTTTGGAGAAAATTGGGAAGGTACCAGAAAATTGTACGTACAGAAAAAATATTTTCGTACGTTGCATCAGAAGCTGAGCGCACATCACAATACTTAAATAAATAATCTAATTATCAGTGTTCCAATAATTCATTAGACTGTATTAAAAGACAGACGGTGACCTCACGTCTAGCGTATTACTGTACAACTGTTATTTCATCGGTCGTGTCTCGTACCTCAATAATTGAATGGTAAAACCATTCGGATCTAACAGTGGATTCCAATTAGGAGATTGTACCATGGGAGCGTAGGCAGTGTGAACGTTGCTACGCGGCGTCGGATTTTTTTTGTGCACCTCTTTTCTCTGTTTCTCGGGCATCCGCGTGGAATGCCTCGAGGAATCGTTCGAGCAACGTGACAACTTCTTCCCATAATGATTCCAGTAATTGTGACTGGCCTGCGACGTTTGAGAATTATCCTTTCTACGTGCATCGGTATTCTCGAAATACTTCGTCCTCTTGGATACAACTAAAGAAAAGTAATTTTCTAAAATGAACTTTGATCAATTATCATGTTTGCTCTTTGAGAGATACGTTTGTCTCTACATTTTCCATCGACTTTCGGCTGTTGATGAGACGTTGATTGCTCGATCTCGGACCCTAGTTTGCAAACGTCGTTGTTCAACTTCGGTCCTATTATCGGCTGAAATTTTGTCGTGTTTACGGGTTTGCTCTGCTTATGATCTTCCTGTTTAACGTCGTAGTCAGTGTAGTAACACGTTTCCGGTTCGTGTTTCTTCTCGAACGTTTGGCATGCTTCCATCGAATTCTTTTGATGGTCGATAGGGTCGGAATGGACAGTTTTACAAAGCAAATTCATAATAAATTCAATTAATTCGTCCTCACATCGCGTAAAAAGTTTGCAAATATTGAAACGCTAAAGAATTCATTTTAATACCTTCTGACCGTCAAGGGAGCCGAAATAGTTTTTTGGATTGTCGAAAATGGTTTTAGCAGATTCGTTTATCGTTTCATCTTTCTGTACCTATAAACGGATTTCGGGTTTTGAACTCAGAGTTTTTACAGATTTTATTCTATATTACTTTGGGATCGTCTTTTGCGAAATCGTTTAATTGTGCCGAGTCGTTAGGGAGAATCACAGCGACGTTGCGCATTGAACATACTGCTGTGGAATTGCTGCTCAAGTTCTTTGACTGATAGAGATTATCAGGCTCCTTTATGGGATAAACATCATTTTGGAAATTCTGTAAAATTTCGATGGTCTCCAATTTTTTTCGTTATTTTCTCGATAAATACGCAAATACCTGGGACGAATTCTTATATTTCATCCAGTCCGTGTCAGCGAATGTTTTGCCGAACGAATCTTTATTTTTTCTCGATGTATAGTGTTTCCTCCTCAACGCATTAATCTGCTCTTGATTATTTTTGTACTGATTTCTGGAGCACGACCCAAAAACGTTTCCGTACTTCGCGAGAGAGTATTCCTTCCAGTTCACGTCTGTTTGCGACTTTGTAACGGCAAAATTTTACTCATTTTTGAATTAGGTATAATTCTACAAACAACGCGGTAGTACAGTTAGGCGCAAAATACCGATTGATGCACAACGTTAAAGCCACGCATCAAAGCTGGGATTAACATCTTCGTCCTTGCCAATTCCCTTTCCATAGCCATGTACCTCTCTTCCATCTGCCTTATGTACTCTAACAATTGATGGTTGGATGCATTCCCGTAATTGCTATAATATCGATTATAATTTGATTACATTCAATAAATTTAGGTTGCTTAACTTTTAGACCGCCGGCATTACACCATCCCTCCACTCACACCCAAACGTTTTTAAAAAGTCGCATATAATGAAAATATATCAAGGACATATGCCATGTACTCGTCAATTTTTGAACCGATATTTCAGTTTCCGGTCGTCTAAAGGCTAATCGATTCGATCTACTAACGTTTGAAGATACAGATTATTATTAGAGCGGATGCGATCACTGTCATCCATAAGGATGAAATTTAAATCGAGCATCAATCCATCGTTTCTCGAGGACGTGGGCAGAGGTATACTCGTCAATTCAGTGAACGGTATCCCGTGTCTTTGATTAGCGGATAATTGGCGAATAAATTCGTTGCGTCTTCTTTGGTCGTGATGATTATCCACGGGCTCTAAGAAAATACGTCGACCGAACATACTTGTCAATTTTATGTGCTACGTAAAAGTCGCAGTCGTTTCACGAGGAATTTAAACAAGCCCCGCGTACGATCGAAATTATTTTTTTTAGAAACTTTCGTTTAGGTTGTGTTCCCCATCGTTCGTCTTTTTGCCTCTTTTCTATTCAAAGGAGGCAAAGATAATGATGTTCTAAATCGACAAATTTTAAGGATGTATTGGCTATACAGTCAATCCCAAAAGTGTATGCACTTTAGAAACGCATTTTTTAAAAAGAAATCAGACGTCGGAAGAATATTGCTAATAATAAAAAACAAAAAAAATTTTCGATTTTTCCGAGATTTTTCCAAGGGGTACCCCTTCAGATTTCGCGAAATTTTCGTTTTTGGCCAATAACTCCCAAACCGTTGAATCTACGGGAAAATTGCATTAGACCTTTCTTGTAGAGGACGACGAGATCTACAATTTCCATGTAAAATTTTTTCGCTAGCGTCAATAGTTAACGAGTAATTTGCAAAAAACTGTTTTTTCGTTTTTCGTCCATAACTCGTTAAATATTAATGCTAGCGACAAACTTTTACATGGAAATTGTAGATCTCGCCGTCCTCTACAAGAAAGGTCTGATGCAATTTTCTCGTAAGTCCAACGGTTTGGGAGTAATTAAGGAAAAACGAAATTTTTTTTCAAAAGTTCGCCATTTCGACGCTGGGATGGTCGGATTTCGTCAACATCAATAAAATGCCAAATAATCATATGTAACTCGTTAAGTATCGAAGTTAGAAGACAAACAACTTGTATTTGAAGCATTTTCCGCAATTTTGAAGAAGATATTTTCCCTTCAAATTTCGGTGGTTATAGCCATTTACCAACGTCTTAGTCGATACAGCAGTTTGTGTTTCAAGGAGAAATAAATTTTTCCTCTCTCTGAAGCGAAGCTATATGTCATCTTGAGTCATCTACCAAAAGATCAGTAATAAAATCAGGTGTTTAATTACTTCTTGAAAGTGCAAAAGAAGTTAAAGAATTTTTAATACTTCGGGTATAGTCGAGTCGAAGATTGTCATGTTCAGCAGATTGAAACTTGAATGACAATCCAAGTTCCAGGAATTTACGTTTATAGTTGTCACTTACCAAACATTTGCCATCGATAGCAAGTTCATTTTTATCGTGTGAATCGTTTATTATTTAAATTTAGTCACAACGGGGGCTGAACAATCAATCATGTCCGTCTCTCAGATGGAAAGTATCCTTTTCTAAATATTTATACTCTTGAATAGGTTAAATCAGACTTTATCAGTCGATTGCATATCGCCCATTGTAAAGATTTTATTAACAAACACAGAATTTTAACTGTAGTTTGATATATTAATCGTACCTAGGTCATTTGCACAGTTTTGTCGAGATTTCTTGAGTCACTTCAAATCTCAATTATATTTATTATATTCCAATGTGTACACATTATCTACGATCATTTTCATTAAAAATGTTACGGAGTGTTTTCCTTAATCGAAATAAAGGAAATTTATTCAACCTAAAGTTCGCCGTGAAGGAATTAGAAAGAAATTCGAAGAAATGCGAGAAGGAAGAGAAAGTAGAGAAGGCCAAGATAAAGAAGGCCATTCAAAAAGGAAACATGGAAGGTGCGCGTATTCACGCAGAGAATGCAATTCGCCAACGCAATCAAGCGCTCAATTATTTGCGTATGAGCGCGAGGGTGGATGCAGTGGCCAGCAGAGTACAAACTGCTCTGACAACACGTAAAGTCACACAGTCAATGGCTGGTGTTGTCAGAGCCATGGATGCAGCAATGAAGTCTATGAATTTAGAGAAAATTTCAGGTAACGAAGAATTTTTACATTGGAAATAGTCAATGGTTAAAAATCATATAATTAATGGATTATAATTTGAATATCAGGCCTGATGGACAAGTTCGAGAGTCAATTTGAAGATCTGGATGTGCAGAGTTCGTACATGGAAAATGCTATGTCTCAGACTACTACAACCAATGTACCACAAAATGATGTCGACTCCTTGCTGCAACAAGTTGCAGACGAGGCTGGGTAAGTTCTATCTGTACTACTAAATGAATGACTTCTGTCTTCATTTCGATGATTACTACGAATAATTTCGATGCTTATATTTCTCTACAGTCTGGAATTGAATATGGAACTGCCATCTGGACAATTAGGCAGCGTAGGCACTACTACAGTCAGTCAAGAACAGGACGAGCTCACACAGCGGTTAGCAAAACTTCGTGAATAGTAACATCCTCTAAAGACTAGTTACAGAGCACAGACAAACACACAGAGAGTGAGAAGCACATATGCTTAATCGCTATAATTAGTATTCATTTATTCAAAAGGAAATACGCATAAAAGCATTTTTAAAAATATACTTTATTGTCCTAACAGTATATTTTTCTCTGTATTCATTTATTTCGACCGAAATACTTTGATAACGGTGTAAAAACATCGAGATTGCACGATCTAAGATTCGATCTATTTTATATGCTTTATGTAGTGTTAATTACATATTTCCAGCTGTGTACATGACACGGCAATGATCGTATAATGTTTACAGTAAATGTGCATATTCAACAATACGAACTTGATATGAAACATTGGCGGAATAGAGTTTAATCTACTAAAGTGATTGCAGAACTTCTCTCCAGTCAACACATTAATATGCTTTTTAAAATGTACACTTACTGTAACATGTACATATTATAAATAAGTGTATCAAAGTATGTAATGTATCTATAAAGGCTTTCTAGCTACTCATCAATGAAACAACTTATTATTAATATAAAACATATATTTGATATATATTCCTTAGTTCGAGGAAAGTTTTTATAATACAGAAACTTTTGTACCGTATAACACGCGGGGATGTTATTAAAGTATACCATTCTTAACTCTTACATATGATTAATTTCTTAAACTACTATGGACACAAAAAGATATTATTTTATATATATGAGAATCTTTTGTTACTTCGGTGATGATAATTATGTAGCATACTTCGTGAGGAAGTAGTTCTGACGATGAGTTAAATATATTATTAAGTGCAATTTATTGTACATATTTGTTTTATAAAAATAAATTTCTATAATATGAACATCTTGTCGAACTGTCGAAGTGACGCCGATTAGATTCCTTCGCTTTCCTTGTCACATAGTATAACGCAAAAGCTTATGATGAAGTTATGAAATAAGTAATTCAATTATTCATAAATAAGTCATTAACATTGGCTGGTCTTCATTATGTGTTTGCTAGCGTTGAAGTAGTACTTTTCTTCTCTTGTAAGTACATGTTGAACTGGACAGACCAGATCTCTCATCTCTGTTCGATTGGTTCTTGTAAACGCTAAGCACGGAACTGAACGTGTCAGATCCCTGCAAGAAAAATCTGGGGGCAGCACTAGTATGGGGAACACGCAAAACCCGACCGTGAGCACTCTCATTTCCTCTGGTTTTCTCTCTGTTCTGGACATTGTACGTGTAAATTTAGAAAAAGTAATCAGCAATGACCGATGATTCCAATGGAGAATCGACATTCGAATTTATCGAAAGAAAGACGGACGAATCGTCAACGTCCGGAGAAATCGTAAAAACAGGTGAGAATTAAAAGCAAAACATAAACACCTGTGTAGCTGTCAAATCTCTCTACAAATCCGAAGTTTACGTTCACTGTAGCTGCTTATCGCAATTTCTCGCGTAGCACAAAATAATCTAAAAAAAAGGTGTCAGAACGATAATTTATTATATATATGCAAGAAATAAAAATTCAATAACCTGTACATTAAAAGAGAATTAATAAATTTAATTTCGTAGCTATAGAGAAGTAGCTACTTAATTAAGGTATTACTTTGTTAACATTATGTTTGAGTAAATGACAATGACAACATAATTTTCAGATTCTTTCAGCAGTTTATCTTCATCTACATCTTTATTAATGCCGTTAGGGGTATCAACATCTACAGGGAATTTATTATCAAATGTAGCACCACCAAGTGCATTGCCTAGCTTTATTTCCAATCCTGGGACGTTGTTGTCGGAAAGGCCTAATAACTTGGAACTGCCCATACAAAAGAAACCACCTGAACATGAACCCAATAAATCGATGTTAAACACTGTCGTTAAATCTAAACTACCGCAGCAAGAAACACAGCAGATAATTGCAACTACGACCGATGCCACTCCAACCAGTCAAAATACACAAATTGCAATGCAATCAGAAAATGTAGTCCAGGAATCAGGGATGGTTGGAGGCGGTCTACTATCATGGGTCAGAGAAACGGTAGTAAACAGTAATGTTTTGAGCAAAGTTGCAGAGAAAGCGAAGAACAGCGTTAATACTATGATCACAACATTAGATCCTCAGATGCGTGAGTTACTTAGTAAGTAAGAACCTGCTAATCCTGACCTGCAAGTAAAAGATCAATTTAATCCTCTCCTACTCTGTAAATATGGTTTTATCAATTTTATTTTCTGCTCTGTATATTTTCTGTCTAAATGTGTGTCATCGTGCATGTGTGCTGTAAGTATATTGCATCATATCTGAAAGAAACAGATATATGTAGTGTGTTATTTTTGGACAAACTGCAATCCAAACTTAACTCAATGAGTTCTGCTGTACACTGTACTAACTGTCATTCACACAAATTTTGTTCGTTCTTTTTCCTTCTCATTGAGCAGTTTAAATTGTATCAGTCATATGTGAACCATGCATTGTGCAATAAGTTATTAATAAAACGCTAGTATCACTACTTGCATTGCAAATACAAGCAGTAAATTTAAGGTTGTGATATGAATGACTTTTTCCAATACACAACATTGTGGAAAAAATGACAGTCTTCAAAAACAGTTTTTAATAATATAAAGATAATATATTTCAATTCATTGTGTTGTAACAAAACGTATTGGCTATGGAAATTAAAATTTGTGGAAACAATATATGAGCTCAATGTTATTTGTGTATGGATGTAATAGGAACACTGTGACTGTGCAATATGTTAGTTAATGTACAGAAGTATATGCACGCTCTGTGGAAAATGTACATTACAGATTCTGGTGGTGATATGGAGATTATAGTAGCATCAGACAAAGATAGCAAAGTAAGCCCTGTGCGTCAAGCTTTTCAAGCTGTTTTTGGAAAAGCGACAGTAACGTGAGTACCAAAGTGTCGGATATCTTCCTCACTCGTTAACAATATCTACATTAAAATAATTGATTGCTGTATAGTGGCGTGGCAGTAGACAGCTCAGCAGTAGCTGCCCAGCCGGTTGGTTTTGCAGCTGGTGTAAAAGGAGCTGAGGAGAGGATTAATTCCGCACGGAATCTGTCGACCGTTCCAAGGGATATACCGATAATTGCGGTTGAAAACTTTTTGCTAGAAGTTGGCGAAGACAAATGGTATGACTTGGGAGTGATACTCCTCAACGATCCTAAACGCAACGTGAATTTGCAAAGTTTCACGCAAATGACTCCAGTACCGAGTCAAATAGTAGCGATGGCACAAGAGGGTACAGCCGAAGATTATCCCCTCAAGTGGTCTGGACTGTCCGTCACTGTCGGTAGCCTAATGGCGAGCAGTTTACAGGTCCGTCTCGAAAGAATTAGCCATGAGGCTATTATAGTTGAAAGTATATAAAAACATTTTCTTTCGAAGGTTTCACATAACGAATGGCATTACGCACTTACCGGGATTTCCAGAAGGGACATCATATATCTAGCGGTACAATCGCTAGCAGGAATCTATAAGAATACAATTAATCCCCTTTAAAATTTTACAAAGTTTTAATGAAATGCGTTTTTGTAAATACGGCTATATTAATTTATGATATATTTAAACCAATTATCAGGATTTATTTTTTAGGCTCTTATTCTTAACATGTCCCTTCCTTACTGCATCACATGACTGAATTGAAAACGCTTCATTTTCAATCAATGTGACATTCTTAAATTAGTATTTATAAATTAAGGAAATTTATATTAATTGTATGTGGCAATATGTACAAAAAATCAATTGAATGAAGGTAAAATATATTTAAAAAAATAGGTTTGGTATACACATTGAATGTGATTACTTGCTCACATATCAATGATTAATATTAACGAGTAGAGTATTTTGTTATTGTAATTAGCATGCACTTCGCGTAAATTCTTGGTTTCATAAAATTTCGACACAAGTGCTGTCGACGAAGGTAATAAAAAGATACTTCATTTCACAATTTTTTTGTTTAATTTCTTAATGTATTCGTTCAATATGAGTACATTGCTGTTGTGTAGATTTTCCATTATTAGTAACGTCGCAATTCGTCCAATTCTCTCAGAACACCAACACAAAGGTAACCAGACTAATTGTAAAAAAGCAATGTAAAAAAAGTTGTTTTAGTTTCATTCGTTCTTCACGAAATTGAACAACGATATCACCATAATAAAATTAACAATAGAGTCTGTCTGTCTCTGATGCTGATACGGTAAAAACATAAAGCCAGTGGATCTTGATAACGTGACACATCCGATTAAATAAATGTATAAAATATTTCCACTTGCGCTAACATTTCGTATTTTGCGTTGTAATCACATTTTATTATCATTTTTCCTCATATTTATAATGTTCTTTCTTTACGATTCTTTGCGCAAAAACAAAGTTGATAATAAACCGATGTAAGATGTATGCGGTTCGAGCGATATTAATTGAATTACAATATTTAAATAGATATTTAAATATGGTGCGCGAATCTAAGGTTACAATTTGTCAAGGTATGCGTTCAGATCTGGGAGACCCTCTTTCAATCCCTTCCTCTTACGCGTATCCTGCAAGAAAATAAAAATTACAATTATTCACTTAAATAATATACATATTTTATTTAGATATGTATGTTTCCCTATTCAGGTAAACCAGAACAAGTTACCGGAATACCAAAACAAAAAACAGTTACTTTTCCACGAGATTAAAAATGACAATGTATTCATATTTATCCATTGTCATCAGTTATGATCGTGGATAGTGTACAAATCCCAGAAGAAAATTAATTACCTGCACGACTTGGTAAGGTCTGGTGTTGGGTTCCATTGGGTCACCAGGCAGGATCTGCCAATGGTCGAATACACACTGTGGAAAAGCTTGTCCACCAGTGTTGGAACGCAAATCGGCAGTAAAGCCAAAGGACTCGTTTACGGGAAGATATGCTTTAACTACGAACATAGGTGTACCGGCAATTTGCTGTTCTTCAAATACGTGACCTCTTCTTCGATTGAGCACACCATAAATACCACCGACAGCTGTTTCGGGGCACTATAATAAACGATTTCATTCTATTATTAAACAAACGCTAATAAACTATTTACAGTCGTTTGACTAATGAATTTACCTGAATTTCGCACAAGTAAACTGGTTCCATAAGTCGGGGAGAGGCAGTGAGGAGACAAGCATACAGGCAGCGTCTAGTGGTAGGAATAATTTGTCCACCACCTCTGTGAATAGCGTCAGCGTGTAACGTTACATCATGAATGTTGAAGCGGACACCTCTCAAATTCTCTTCAGATAGAACACCCTATAAAGTAAAACATTGTAAGATTATAATTTGAAATTTCTCTTTTTCTTCGAAAAAAGAAATCGTACCTCTTTCGTCGCCCATTGGAATCCAGCTACAACGGAATCTTTAATTTCATTAAGATATTGTACTCCCTTTGTACAATCGACAAGAATGTTGGGCCCAGTTCCGTCAGGTCCAAAGCACCAGATCTTTCTAGCTTCAGTTACATCGTAATCGTATTTCTCGTTTAAATAACGAGCACGTACTTTGAAGTCATCCCTTGGATTTACTTCACCCTACAATAGCAGTAGAAAACGTTAACGCATGAAAAGGAAAATAAAATTCAAAAGTTTACGTAATTGAGACATACGCTATCGATATCTTCAGCAAGACCATCAGGCATGGGACACGCCATCATGAACAAACGATTATGCTTGTTGGGTGATTTCGAAAGACACATTTGATTCGATTGTTCCGAAATAGTTTCTCTGTAAGAGACAACAGGGTCCGATTTTTTAATGGGTATGCAAGCATGATCCTCCTCCAAGTCCTTCAAGCAAATTTCAAGGTGAAGCTCTCCAGCACCAGCAATAATATGTTCTCCTGATTCCTCAATGATACATTGTACCATAGGATCTGATTTTGCTAAACGTTTGAGACCTGAACCAAAAAACAAATAATTTTGTACAAAATTGTTAACAATTCTACCAAGAGATTTTTAAAATAATGATCATTGTCAGCTTCTAAATAAAATCATGGTTGATCATAACCCAATGCTCTAAATGTAATGTTTCATCATATTAAGTAATGCAATAAGTTATAAAATAATGTAAATTGCAATAAGTTATAAAACTTAGTAGTAAACAAACATACCTTCGACTAACTTGGGCAAATCTGCTGGATTCTTAGGTTCTACGGCAACACGTACAACAGGAGATACTGAGAACTTCATGACTTTCATGTTATGTGCATCTTTATATGTTGTAATAGTTCCAGTTTTCACTAAGAATTGATCAACACCAACAAGTCCACAAATATTACCTATTAAATAAGAAAATAATCTGTTAAGACGTGTGCACATGCAATGCAATCTTTTAATATCACTGAATTTAAATAGTCAGTTGGCCGTTCTATTGTCGTTCAGGAAGTGTCAGAACAGGTCTGTGTGAACAATCATCATTGTGTTCTTTAACGAAATTCAGATCAATTATGACAATATATTTTACTAACCAGAAGGCACATCTTCAATCGCTTCAACGTAACGACCCATCATTAGAATTGTACGCTGAATAGCTTTTTCATAAAGATCTTCTTTTTTGCCTGGTTGGAAGTTAGGCCCCATAATACGTGCTTTCATTCCAGTGCACACTTTACCAGAGAACACTCGGCCGAAAGCATAGAAACGACCCTTGTCAGAGGTCGGTACCATTTTCGAAACGTACATCATAAGAGGTCCATTCGGATCACAGTTCTGTGAAAAGAGTTTCAAATTGAAAATATGTTTAATAACTTAATAGTATAAAAATTCAAATATAGACTGATCAGCTAACATTACATCTATCATACATGTTTCAGTACAGGTCTGTGTTGTACTCGTCATATGCGATGAATTGCAACATTCCTTTCATATAGGACACTTATGTATATTTACCTTGATACCAACTGCAGCATCATCATCGAGTGGCCCTTCGTACAACATTTCCATACGGTATTTCTGAGCGGTTACGGGAGACGGTAAATGAATGGCAATCATCTGAAGTAAAGCTTCTCCAGCTGGCAACCATGTTCTCATAACAACCTAAAGTGTAAGGAGGTATTACTAAAGCACCATGAATTGGCAAATAATTAAATATTCAAATTTTGTATATTATCAGATATAGTTGATACTGTCAGTCAAAGAATTTCAGAAGAGGTGTCAGAAATTGATAAAACAACAATCATCATAAGCATTCGTTAAATTTAAATTATGGCATTCGGATACAGAAAAGATATCTACCTTCAGAAGAGCCTTGCCATCCTTATCTTTATCTTCGGGTTTCAAAACAATTCCTAACTTTTGCAACAGTGTGTCTGCTTCATCTTTTTTATAATTCATGATGCTATCAAATACCTGTTAATTTCGTTCACATTAGTTTAAGTCGGTAAAGATTTGATTAATACAAACGTAATTGATTATAAACGTACCTTATAAATTGGATCTAGGACGTACATACAGAAAGATCGCTTGTTGTCCACTTCCTTTTGTTTGCTCCACTTCTTGGTTTTGGGATTAAAGAATGACTCTCCCCATAATCTGTTCATTAGCTTTACGACATCGATTTTGAATCTCTCGGCATACATTTCAGAGAATTGTTTCAAGGTAAATGCCCAACCGTGAAGGCCCGAGCCGAAGCCGACGGATCCTTTGCTAGGGTCTACCTGTTCGTAATAAATATGAAATTTAATATCAAAATCGAAATTCCTATATAAATCGATGAATAAAAGATTACACACTTACTCTAACTTCACCCATAGGACCATCGTCGTCCGAATACGTAGCAATGATAACATTCACGTTCTCAACGATACGTTGGAAAGTTTGATAAAGATCTTCACTATCAAGTTGAAGTTCCAAAAGTGCTCTGTCCATTTTGTTCATGAATAGTACTGGCTTTATACGTTCAGCAATAGCTTGGCGTAGTACAGTTTCGGTTTGTACACAGACACCTTTAAAGATTTAAGAAAGATTACAGTTTCAGGAAATTAAAAAGAAAATGTATGAACAAACGTCATAAAATTGTAGCAACTGTGCCGTAGCGTGTTAGTCACGGACATAAGGATAGAGGTCCACTAGCAGCGTTTAAACACAGTTGCCATAATTTTAATCTCCTTCCATTAGTGCACCGTCAACACTGTCCATGTGTATCAGCCAGTTAAACCAGATGATACACTACAGAGTAACGCGTTTTGTGCTGGAAGGGATTTGAAATAATTTCAAATATCGCTCTTAAAATACATACCAGAGACACAATCAACGACAACAAGTGCTCCATCAGTTACACGAAGGGCAGCAGTTACTTCACTGGAGAAATCAACGTGGCCGGGTGAGTCAATAAGATTGATCAAGAAACCCTTCTCGTCCTTGTCACGCTGATCAGGATTCGTAATAAAAACTAAATCTTTTTCCTCAAGTTCAAAGAACATAGAAATAGCACTGTAAGGAAGAATGTACATTATTCGTAAGGAGAGATTTGAAAATTAACAATTATTAGGAGCATTATTAATTAAACTTACGTAGATTTAATAGTAATACAACGTTCCTGTTCATCTTTGCGGGTATCAGTAAATCTCGTCTCACCGGCTTTGGCACCGGCAATAATACCGGCCTTAGATACAAGGGAGTCAGTCAGAGTTGACTTTCCATGATCGACGTGAGCGATGACGGACATATTTCTGATGTTTTTCTTTTTGTCCATCATGGCACGTATCTCGTCCACCGTGAAGTTCACCTGTAACAAATAAAATATTGTTAACACTTGATATAAAAAACATTGATCAAAATGTTTGAACAATATTTCATTTGGAAAATTTTTAATACTGTAACACTAAGCTTTTTAATGATTTGGCATTGTTAAAGTACTAAATAAAATTCAGTTGAGAAAGCAATTTTATTTTACAGAAAGAGAAAATGAACTTTATACTGACCATATTGAAATTAAAGCTTCACAAATCTTGTAAAATATGATCAATATTTATACATAATTATTTATGAAAAAAAGATATATCACTGCATGGTCAATTTTACTCGCACGCAACATTCGTGGCAGAGAAATTCATGACCCTAGAGTGTCACGACCTCCTCATACTCTATATACCATGCGAAGTGTTCGATGCGTTTTCTCTTTATCTCATATCTTTCGACCGAGGTTTGTTTTCGCGTTATATCCAATTCACCAGAAACCGTCGAAATTATTTCTTGAAGATTCACGATGCTTCTGAGAGCATGCTGATTCGTATCGAGGGCTCTTAAGAAGCTGCATGACACGTTGCCCCTCCGACGAGAGGTGGAACATACTCGAGCTTCGTGCAAAGGCGAACATTGAACCTTCGTGATAGAAAATTTTCGGGAATGCTTCGGCAGTATTATTGCTGAGCCTTCGGAGATCTTTTGCCCTGGCATATCCATCGCGAGCCACGAAATTTCTCTTTGAAGGGAGTTGCGCAATCTCAAGTAATCCGCCAGTTTTCAATTTTCCCGAAGCCAGGTGACACTCGGTCTTCAAAAATATTCATACCTCTGCACTCCACACGTCGTACAGATTTTTACGTTCGGGATAGTTTACGATAGTTCATACGTACCATTTTGGATGTTGTCTGATTTCCGTTGGCCTGGTCAGTAATATACGTGCAGCAACAATGGCGGACTCCCTGGGAAAGAACAGGAGTTCTGTGAAAGGAACGAACGTTTCATATGCGGTAGGTAGACGGCGCTCGTTGTCCCGTGGATATCGTGGTGTAGACGAGACCAATCGGAACTTCGTAATCCCTACTGCGTGGCTAAATCGGCGCACGCAGTTCTCAACTGATCCATTACGTTTGTAGTAGTGAATATTACAAAATCATTCTGATTAGTGCTGACACCTCAGTAGTTTGAGTTATTTTTAAGTAATAAAGTAGTGTGTTTATAATAAAAAAACTAGAAGAATGCAAATTAATAAGGTGGATCCAAGAGCAAGAACAAAACTAGTAGGGCACGGTAAGTATAAATCATTGGATGTAAGAGGAACGTCATGGTTTAAATGTAAGTGCATTTCCGATTAAGAAAATTTCTTATTTATAATGTCCATACAAAATATCCCAATAATTAGAAGTGAATATATGATCTATGGATTTTTTTGAACAAACAGAGAAAATAATAGTTATTTATACTCCTACGAGGTAAATGGGAATATACTTCAGATTCGGGTATAAAATGATAGTAGGAAGTAGAAAAATCAAGGCGTGCAGCGCCGGCGACGCGGGCACGCGACGATTTTTAATTTTTGAGAATCGTCCAATCTCTAAATAAATTGAAAGCTTTACACTATTCGAAATTTCCAAAAAATTTATTTCCTTACAAATAATTGAACTGAAGGCAACTAATTAAATTATAATACGCCGTCGCATCTTAATTTGTAATTATTACAAGGATGAAAATAGTTACGTGTGTACATATGTAAAACGAATGTGCATCTTCTTACAAAACAGTTACTCTTAGAAGCGCTCACATTGGTATAAATTATATATTTATATCCGCACTTTTATAAACGGTAAAGAGAACTGTAAGTATTATTTTTAATTCTCTTCATTTTTATGTGATTTTTATTGAGTACAAAATTTGTGCACACCACAAAAGAAGCTTCATACATAATACAGCCTATCAATCTAATTACTTTCTTCATGATGTGCTAGATCATTGTTATCTTCGAACGATAGGAAACATTGTATATACAGATGAAAACAATTAGAAGACTTCTTATGTAAAACAACATTATCATTAATAAAATATTCCAATCGTTCTTTAATAGAACATGGATACACTTGTTATTGTTATCTTGTGAAAAATCAAACATCATCACAATGTTATCTTAACTGTAAATCTTCTAATTGTTTTCTGTTACATGAATTCAACGGCTCCCTTTGCAACTCCGTTCATGAACGCTTACGCGGTCAGGATTAAAGGTCCTCCCGCAGCGTTTGCACGGTACCAATTGATTCAAATGCCATTTCCAACTGGCTTCGGCCATCGCATTAATATCCATTATCATATCCCCGCTTTCCTTGTCACCTGTGTACAAATTATCGTAATAAAACACTCGGAATCTTAATCAGAGAAACAGGAAGATTCCTCGTGTTAAAAAAACATTATTGAGTGAGTCATTGAACTTTTACGGCTCGCGTGTGTGTATTTAAGAAAAGGTAAGTTTATAATTATTATCAACGGCATCTCAAGCCTTCACCTTGTCCAGTGTGCTAAGGATTACTCGTAACGGTTGATAAAGCTCGGTTTTGCGACTTCCGGTTCGTAAGCGTGTGCGACTCGCTATGATCGATATAATCACGCTGACCTTAAGTTCATTGGTTGAACGCGGTGCCACGCGAACGATATTTAACTTCCTCGCACAATGATCTCACAGACTACTCGAGACTAATAATAACGATTATGTAAACGATAAGAATCGTGCACTCCGCTCGGGACAAAAATGTTTGAGAAAATCGATCGTCGAGGTTGTTCAACTCGCGAAATCAATTAGGTAAGCCATTCTATTGAAATTATGCACCCAGTATTATCGAAGAAAAGTGTCGCCGTTTCACAGGAATGAATGTATGTATAAAAGCATGCGGAAGTAATAGACTCACGGGTGAACGTAATTTCCGGCTCCTGCGAGTCTTTTTTTCTTTGACTTGGCGGAAGTTTCTCGTTCTCCACGTGCAATTTTTTCAAGCATTGCGGTCTGTGAATGGCAATGCTGTTCGATCCGAAATCTCTGCCACATGTGTGGCATGTGATCGTCTTCTTCTGCGCGCTCTCCTGAAATCAATTTTCTCCAAATAACTAAAAAACTCGAACGAATCGATCAACCAACGCTCAGGCGTAAATAATGACACGTTTTTATTCGTAACGATCGGTATCAAAGGGTCGGTACAAAAAATTTCACTTGTACAATAGATTCTCTTGAGGACGTGCACGGTTTTCACGAACGATTTGATTCGAGCATAGGTCAGACGAATTGTAGGACATAAGCCTGCCTTCCAACACGACTCACCCCTGTTGGGCTGCTCAGGTTTTCCTGTACGATTGTAGTTTGAGCTTCCGGCTTCGGATGATGAACGCGCGTGTCCTTTTTCCGCGGGTGCACCGTTGTTTGTTTCGCCACTTCTGCTTGCATCCGTTTGATGCACTGCGGCTCGTGTATCTTTATACTCTTCGAGCCGAAGCTTTTGCCGCAGCTCTGGCAAACGATCATTGGCGGTCCTACCCGTGGCGTGCTAGCAGATTTTACCGGAACCGGTCGTTCTACCATCTTATCCAGCTCCGCGTTCTACTCGTCGGAGCAGTAAAATAAATAAATAACACTCGACCAGCGTTTTAACATCAAATTAGTTTTCATAGTATTTTCACCTTGATAGGAGCATTGCAATTTTTCTGATGCACCAGCAATCGTTCCGGCAGAAACGTTCTTCTGCATTTCAAGCAAGGGATCAATTGTGCCTAAGAACAGAGTTTTCGTTCGACAACATTCCCAAGAAATACTTATCTAGACAAAAAGCGCGACTACTGGAAAGTTCAATCTTTCGAGAACGAGAACAGCTCTTGAATCTCAAGCTTAACGAGTCGCAATGCGGTTGTTAGTTTTTAGATCAAACACATGCCGTTGGTCTTTAAACGGGCAGGTCTGTGTGATAAATGTAGGGCAGCACCTTGAACACGATAGAGCTGGAGCGTTAGGGTGCGTGACGTGCTCCTAGTGTAAAACCGGGGACGTTGCACACGGATTCCGTTGAATGCAACAGCAATGAGCATTCGCGTCGTATAAGGGCGAGCTTTAAACGAGTCACTCCATTATTACGCATTATTATGATCGATTTCGTCAGCGTAGAGCATTAACATGCTGCAGAGAAGGATTAGCATACCATGGACTTAAGTAAGAATTTATAATTTTCCACACATTAATATTCAGGCGACGCGTTCTCGATTTTTACCAGATAAGCAAAATGAAATAAAATTCTAGTTTATTGTGTGCCAGCATCAAATTTGCTTACGACTTATAATAATCACATTACATAACTGTTTGTGTAATAAAGTCAGTTAGAGCAGAGTGACTCATTCTACTCCTAATTAAGATACGTTTATCTCTGTAGGAGAATAAAAAAACGCGTAACCATTCAAATATATCCCGGTTTGAATCTCCTACGTAAAATAAATGATACATGTTTGAAAATAGAAAGACCTTTGAGAGCACTACGTTTGATGTGGACTATAACCGCGCTTTGCATACTTAAGGGAACCATACCTGGCTTTCTTCCCATGCTGCGGTATTCCAGTCTGAATGATCGATGGAGACGGGAGGCCTTTGAGGTGTCGGACGTCTTTGGTTCGCGGGCAAAGAATTGTTCTCCCGTTCCCACTTCTGTTATACATTGTTACGTCATATTACTCACACGCTTTATACGTCATCGCGGATTTCACGTTTTCGTTTGCCAATTAACGGGCTCGTTCGCTCGTGTACGATAAATAACTAGGTAATCTCTGTTGAGTGTGAATTCCAGAGCGGTTCACGGTGAAACAGCGTAACGAGCACGATCGATCTACAGAGCGTAATTAATGCCCCATCGCGGATAGCTCGTAGACAGATACTCGGTTGAGGTCGTGGGTATACTTGTATCGAGCTAAATCTATAGAAACTGCGGCTCACGTGCAAATTACGTTACGGCGTTTGATCGTTTCGTGTCAGTAACTGTGAGCAAGTGTCAGGTATCAGTTCCCGTGTGCACGTACAAATGCTTTAACAGCATTTTATCATAGATGTAACGATATGCATATGCAAGTATGTATATAGACGTAGTGTATCGATCTTACAAAAGGCCTTGACGTATTACGTTCTTTCAAAGATATTCAATAATATTCATCCATTGTGGTATCGCGGGTATGAATAATTAATAGAGTTCAAGTTCAATGCGAAATTAGATCTATCCACCGCGATCGAGTTACAGGGACTCTCGCAATCGAATGCGATGTGTGAAAAATAGAATCAAATTATATGTTAAAAAAACATGAATAAAGTGGTAATATAAATCGTTCACTTACTTGCATACATCGGGGCTCGTGAATGGGAAAGCTGGCGGTACCAAATTCACGGCCGCATATGTAACACGTGATAGTCCTCGGTCCTTTCTTAATAGGCGCCGAGGAAGGCCTGACGGGTGGACTCGACATTTCTTGAGGACTGAGGTCCGACTTAGATTCCGCGTCGTCCACTTTGTTCTTGTTCTTGTCGCTACGATAGTTCAGAGCGACAGGCTTCTGAACGATCTTCGGTATCGTGCTCTTCGTCTTCGTAGGGCTGTCCTTCGCCCTAGGCTGGCTACTCTTCGGGTGACTATGCAATCGTTCCGGCTGGTCTGGTTTACCGCAACTTTTGCAGGGCTCCGGGGCACTTCTCGAGATCGACGTGAACACCTCTAAATCGCTTTGTATAGTGGGCCGCGAGTTCTTCTTCTTCAGCGTCGACAGAGAGAGCATCTTACTCGACCCATTTCTACTTGACACACGATTGTCCATATTAGCTTCGTGTACGTTTTTAAATTTGCAATCACAAACCTATTGTTATTGTCGTCGAGTTTCCTGTTGTCCAAACTCTTCCTCGCGGTGGCTGCGTCGTGGCCACCGATGCGCGCATGTTTCTGCATCCTCGGTGACAAAATGGATACGTCGATGTGACCTAGCTGCGGGTCGAGGATCTTCGAGTCGAGGATTTGTTCGAAGCTACGTCGTTTATGGGATATCGGGAAGGGACCGCTGCTCCACGTTGTAGCTTCGCCGTTCGATGACGGGATACGTTGTTGTTGCTGTTGTCGTTGATGTTCCGTGACGTTCGGGCGGTACCTTGACGACGTAGGGATCGACGACGTACCCCCACTCATTGTTTTCGAGAGGCGATACCGCGTTATCGAGTCGACGAGCAATTCTTTGCTTAGGAGAGACATGTCCAATTTGTCGACGAGATCCGGATCCAATACAGTCGGTTTCTCGAGGTTCGCCGTCTTCGGCCTTTCCGGCTCTTTATAGAGACCACCCCCGCGCTTCATCTTCGGCGGCCAGGTGCACGTATCTGGCGTCTTCGACTTACGTTGCTTTTCTTTTCCTAAGTCCGTAGGACGGTTTTCTAAATTATTTACACATAGCTGTGTTAGATAATTTTTCATAGAAGAAAGTGTTAAAAACAAAAACGATTTTTATTGATACATGTTTTCTTTATTAAATGGCATATCAAATTCTAGTCGTAATTCGTTTATTAATACGTAGGTGCACATTGTGTTGTCAATTTAGTATGCAATAGGGAAGTAACTAATGAGCTGTTTGGAACTGGATCGATGACGGTACTTCCTTACTTTATGTGTACGAAAAAATGGCAGTGAATGGGTCGGTTATTATTTGTGAACATGTAACACGGTATATGATGTACAATTTGTAGTAACAAAAAACAAAATATGAGAATTTAAGTACTCTTTTCTTTTGACGCTATTCTTACATTTACATGTTTCCATGTTTTATAGCTGTATTTGCGTGCAAGGGAGAGTA